GGCGCATCTTCGGCGAGCTCCTCCTCCGAGCCCGCTCCGTCAGTGGGGCTCCATTCCCCTCCCCCACGTATGGTCCTGCCATTTCCAACCGGGGAGTTGGCGAAAGGCTGGAGCCACCATGGGCTCCAGGTCGCCGGCAGCTTGGGAGAAGCTGCACCCACGGGAGCCGATGGGCCTCGAACTCCCGCCGTTCTTGTTCGGTACCATTGCAAGGGGAGCCGTAAATTGAGCTTTTCTTACGAGGGTTCCTGCCGAGTGCTTGCCCACGCCCACTTCCCGCTTAGGAGAGGCTCTGTTTAGCCAGCGCTTGTCAGGCGTTAGGTTAGGTTGTATTGTAGGGAGGAGTGCAAGACCATGATGGTTGTCTCAGGAGAAAGTGGTTGCACCTTTTGCAAAACTATTTACCTGCTGTGGTTTGTGTTTCCTTTCCTCCTGAAGGAATGAAGTTGTAAGTTCACACTGGCACATTCGCAGGGCTGTGCAAATCCTTTGCACTGTATTTCACAGGTGAAAACGTGCTTTTTAGCTTTCTTTGTGTATTGAGTTGCTTTTGAATTGCTTCCCATATTTTTATTTCATACAAACTGAACAATTGTGGCCCCTCTATTTTATTTATAAAGGTTCAGTGTATCTTTGCCTGCCTACATCAATCTGCAAGGGAGTTGCAGAAAAGCCTCATGTTCATCGAGCCGTGAGTCACAACCAATTTCTAAGCTGTTATAACAAAAAAGTGTTTGCTTTTTTTCCCACAAGTATCTTTAAAAGTGTAGTTTAGAAAGAGAGCATTTTCCATACGAAGACACTACATTAATCCTGGATGCTTGCAAATCCTAAGATAGAGTCCTCCTCTAGTATTACACAGCTCTGTGTCCTATACACAGATTAGCTTTAAAATTTGTCACGTTCCACTTTGCCTTTACTTTTATGTATCATTCCCCTGACTTCCTTACTGCAGGTTGGGCAAGAAAACTTTTCCTTTAAAACTTTTCAACAGCGGGCATAAAATTCTGCAGCTGAGGTCTTGAAGAATGCAGATGGGTACAGTATATGTTGGAATTCACAGTGTGTATTGACTAACCTAGTTCCTTTTTGCCTTCTTTTTTTTTTTAAAGTTTTTTTCTTCTTCTTTTTAGTATTGTCTTGTTAACAGTGACTCCCAGGTGCCAACTCTTCTTTTTAAAGGGTGGGGGTGAAGAGGGGATAGGAAAGACTAGGTCTAGATTATTTACTAGCGGTAGAGTTTGAAAGCTTTCTTTGTATTTTTGAGCAAAATGCTGCCTACACATTTTGTCCACAGCAAAACGATTAGATTAATAAACAGCTTTTGTTGGTGGAAACTACCAGCTATAGGTCATACGTGGTGATTCATGGCCCTCTGATTAACATGGGTTCTGGTATCATTGCCCACATGTATGTGTGGGGATAGTGGCCTTTTGGTGCTCAGCCTTTTACTTCTGACTCCTTGACTTCTTTGGCACAATGATGGAGTCAGATCTTATTAAATGTGATTCTTCATGATACATTTAGCATCAGAAAACATCTGTATTCCACTCCAGTTGTCAATATCTCTAGATCAGCTTTTCAGTGTATTTGGTAGTCTGCAAATCATCCAGGTGACTTGTACCAGATATGCTTTTGTATTTAACGTGGTATTGTCTTATTTAAAACCACAAATAAATTTCAGGAGATGAAACCAGACAGAGGGTGAAGTTTACAGATGACCGAGTCTGCAAGAGTCACCTTCTGGACTGCTGCCCTCATGACATCCTGGCTGGGACGGTAGGTGCATTTGGGGGGCGGAGGGAGACATCACAGAACACTCAGGCTGGGGTGCTGTGTAGGCAGTGTAAGTTTTCCAGGTTGAATTCTGTCTTCCTTTATCAGATAGAAATCACCTTTATTGCCCCTTCAAATTATAGGTTCTGTTAGTAAATGGAATTGTTTTTAATAAACAGTTTTTAAAAATAGGTTTTTATTGCTTTTTCAAAGAGAGAGGAAAGGAGAGAGAGCGAGATGGAAACATTGATGAGAGAGATGATGGAAACACCGGTCAGCTACCTCCTGCACACCCCTTACTGGGATCAGCCCACAAGCAGGGCATGTGCCATGACCTGGAATTACACTGTGACCTCCTGGTTCATAGGTTGATGCTTAACCACTGAGACAAACAGGCCGGGCAAAAGTTACCAGGTTTTTGTAGAGTCAAACAAGATAACATTTCTTCCCTGAATTTTGAAGTTTCCTAAAAATCAGTTGGGCATAACATTGATTTTTCTAGTTTTGTGTTATGCCACCCTTTCAAGAAAGTAACACATGATTCAATGAATATAGACCCCTAAAATTTTAAGTTCACTTCAGATGAACAAAACAGCTTAGTGCTAATTTTGTAGAATGTGTATTTATTCAAAATTAGATAGGATTTAAGAAGACTAGGAAGTGTAGGATCTATAAAGATCAGCACCATTTTAAGATTTCGCAGCCACCTCCTGGATATAAAAACTGTCTTTTCATTTTAAGGCTCAAATGTGCATGTACTAGTGAATGTTTTCTTTGTGATTAATCATTGCTTTATTAATATCATTGTGGTGGGAAACTGCTTAGGTGTATTAAATCTTCTCAAGCTGGCTCTTCAGATAGCAAATAGGAAATGAATGCCAAACTTTGTGACTCTTACCTGGGGCTTACCTGCACTTTGACCTTGTGTAGGAAAGCATTATAACTCAAATTTGCTACACATTTTTTTTGTGTACCAGAGAAAGTCAAGCAGAATTGGCAAATTCAGAGCCAAAGGAATCCATCAATATAGATGTCTGGCTTCCATTAGTTATAAACAGTTCAGCTATAGAATACTCCTGTAGGAGAAGTTTCATAACCTGGAATTGTTGATAGATCTTAGTGGGAGAAGTTTGGAGACGAGGGACATGCATCAGAGTAAAGGATTTCAACCATGTTTTTCTTTTCTTCTTTTTTAAAATATATATTTTTTTGATTTCAGAGAGGAAGGGAGAGGGAGAGAGAGAAACATCAATGATGAGAGAGAATCATTGATTGGCTGCCTTCTGCACGTCCCCCACTGGGGATTGAGCCTGCAACCTGGGCATGTGCCCTAGACTGGAATCAGTTTGCAGGCCTTTCCCATCCACACTCGTCTTGTATACTTGTTTCGTCTATCTCCTTTCCGAAAACTGACTTCTGGGCATGGGCCATGAAGTTTCAATCGCACTGTACGTGCACGCCTGCACGTGGTATTTTGTGGAAGAGCCACACTCAAGGGGCCAAAGAGCCGCATGTGGCTTGCAAGCCGTGGTTTGCTGACCACTGGGCTAGGGCCAAACCATGTTTTTCTTAATCAGATCCCTATGTAACATCAGAATGCTGGTGAGAAAAATAACCAGAATGAGGCCATTTCCTACCAATGTTTATTGTGTTAGGTATAGATTAATTCACCAAATGTTTATTGGACACCTAGTCTCTGTGCCAGGCCCTGGGGATATGGTGCCAATAAGACTAAGTCTTTGCTCTCATGTAATGGTGGAAGAGAGCATACAATAAATAATGAGTGGGTAATAGACTGTTCTAGATAGGGTGATAAGGTAAGGCCTCTTAGGGACATTGGAATAGAGACCCTATGGTGAGAAGGAAAATGTGCCTGGCTTTGGGGGTATACTGCTCTGGGTAGAGGAGAGATGAGGA